TACATAAAACAAAAGGGTTGGATATGTAGCTCAGTACTAGAGCATCCCTGGTTCTATCCCCAGTACCTTAAAAAGAAAAGTAGCATATAGGTTGGTAGGCATAGATAGCTCTGTGGCAGAGTACATGCTTAGCATGCATAAGCCCCTGGGTTGGATTTTCCAGTACCAAAACACAAAGAGAGAGAGGAAGCCACACAATTATAATAACAAAGGTAAGTGTTGACAAAGGTGTGGAGAAAGTGAGACCCTCATACACTGCCTGGGAGAAGTCTCAATGGTATAATCATTTTGGAAACTACCTTGGCACTCTCTTGAAAGGTTAAACAGAATGACCAAGGGACCCCGCACTCCACTTGTAGATGGAGAAACCGAGAGAAACGAAGGCAGGTGTCCATGCACAAGTTTGTGCACAGATGCTCACAGTGGCTTGATGCATGAGACCCACAGTGGTAACAACATGCATGTTCATCAACTGAGAAATGGAGAAATAAATATGGTATACCCAAGCAATGGAATATTAGTTGGACATGAAAAGGAATGAAGTGCTGACAAATGCTACAACAGGGTGAATTTTTAGAACTTCGTGCTAAGTGAAAGTAGCCGCAAGATACCGATGGGTTGGGAGAATTCATTTATGTAAAGTATCTTGAAAAAGACAATCTATAGGAACAGGTGCAGTAGCAGTTGCCCAGAACTGAGTGAGTTGGAGCAAAATGGGGAGGAATTGCTGGTTGGGGTTTTTAGGGGAGATAATATTGCCCAGTGATCGCCACCACCCACCTTCTCCTACTGCAGTAGAAACACCAGGTAAACTTATTATCGTGCATTATTTAGGGAATAATGAAAAGGGGGGAAAGTCTACATGTTCAGCACAGGTGCAATTTTTTTTTTTGAGACAGGGTCTCACTATGCAGTTCAGGCTGACCTTGAACTCATTATGTAGCCCAGGCTGGCCTCAAACTAACAGCAATCCTCATGCCTCAGCCTCCTAGTTGCTGGGATTACAGCTGTGTGGCACCATGCCTCAAAACACAGATGCAATAAAAAAATTATTTTTCAATCCATAGTTGGTTGGATCCTGGGATCTGAAAGAACAACTGACTATATAAGGTTTATTGTTAAATATCCTTCATAATTATGTTTATAGAAATAAATTCCCATTAATTTCCTTTACATAGCTTTATTGAAATATAATTCACATAATATACAATTTACCCAAAGTATATAATTAGTTTTCAGTATAGCATTGAGTTGTGCAATTTTCACCACAAAGAATTTGAGGATATTTTCCTTTCTTTTTCTTTCATTTTTTTTGAGAAAGGGTCTCCCTATGAGGTCTAGCCTGGCCATTAACTCACTGTGTAGCCCAGGCTGGCCTCCAGCTCAAAGTGGATCCTCCTGCCTCAGCCTCCCAAATGCTGGGGTTACAGGCGTGTCCCACCATGTCTGGCCCTGCTTTCTACTTTATGAACTACAAACATTTTCCACATTTCTCTTTTGAATATTGTGTTTACAGTGTTTTAGATTATCCAGGAATTTTTATTTGTTTTTTTTTTTTGTACCGGGATCGAACTCGGGTCCTTGCACTTGCACAGCAGGTGGCGAAACCACTGAGCCAAATCCCCGGCCCTTGTCCAGCAATTTTTAATTTTCAAGGAGTAAAATTCAGTGGTTTCCTTTCTGGCTTCTGGTTTCCACACCGTGCTTAGACCTTCCCCACTCCAAGATCACGAGAGTAAACACTCCTGCTTTCATCCAGTGCCTTTGCGCTTCCTTCTTTCATGGTCCTTTTTTCTAGGCAGAGATGGGGACTGAAGCAGGGACCCCTGCGTGTGGGAGCTCCCACTCTGTCACTGTGCTACAACCCCTGCCCCAGTCACTGTGTTTGTGATGTTTAAATTTGCATCCAATCTGGAATGCAAAGTGGCTGAGAAGTGAAATAGAAGATTCAACTCACCATGATGTACTTGGCTCTTTGGATCCACCCATTCCTTGTTTTTTTTTTGGTTTTTTTTTTTTTTT